TTATGCTGCACTATGCGTGTAGGCTTGGTGCTTTCTGTTCTTGTAAAATTCTTTATGATGATGTTTTTATTTTCATTTTATTGTTTTTATTGACAAATGTGTTTTATATGTATTATATTTGTATTTTTTACTGTCGTATTTTAAAAATCTGCTTGTTTGTAAAGCAATGATTTTTTATCTGACTGTTCCTATATCCGATGGTTGTTCTTACAACACTGTAAAGATCTTATGGAATATAAATAAACCATAAACCATAAACTTTATCTCTGGTGTCTAAGTATTATCCTTAGCACATTCTTTTTTCAGAGTAAAAGATAAATAATTTTCAAAATCACTCCATTATTAGCATATGAATGAGTAAAAATTATGAAGACCTTGACTACCTATCCAATCAGCAGAGAAACATCAGTTCACTCACCAGCAAGAATACATCCTGGACTGTTGGAAACCACTGTGTCTTAAGGCACTCCTTCGCTGCATCTATGTGTCTGGAGACCAGTGCCTGGAATTCTGCCAACTCAAGAGCAACACCTGCCTTGATGATCTCCTTCACTTTCACAAGGCGCATTTCACTGTCAGTATAAGAAATATGTAATTGAATGCTATAAATGAAAGAACTTGTAACAGAGCTTTCTAAATACAGTTTAGTATTGTACTGCAATAAAGTTATCCCTTCATCAAAGCAAGATGCCATGAAGGCTTATAAAGGTAACGCAGATATATTTTATTTACTAGTAGTTTATTTAATGATATTGTCAGTAACTCAGAACAAGCAGCCTCCGTAGTCTGGGGGTAACGTTCCCACCTCATGACTCAAGGTACGCGGGTTCAAACCCGGCGGAGGTCGTGGAATTTTTAAGGGTGGAAAAATTCAGGGAACAAGTCCTCCAGGAGGGACTTTAAGCCGTGGGTCCCGTGTCATAGATTTACGGCACGTAAAAGAACCTCATGCCTCTAGGAGGCCTCTGAGCTAAATTAGGCCAAAAGTTTCCCGCCCAAATAGTTTCCAATGCCTCCGATAGATGGGGAAGTATTAGATACCACTGCCAGAGGAGGGACAACCTCGCTGACAGAAAGGGACTAATTATTAGATACCACTGCCAAGTAGAGGGTAAACACCTTGCTGGCAGAAAGGGGCTAAAGTATTAGACACCACTGCCAGATAAGGGACTAACTCACTGAGAGAAAGGGACTAACTATTAGATACCACTGCCAAGTAGAGGGTAGAAACCTCGCTGGCAGAAAGGGACTGATAGCGAGCACCAATATCGGTAGGGGATGGAGACGGTAGAAATTAAAAGGGGGGTGTACAATAGACTATCAGTCGTGGTACATGGGGAAACCCACGCCCTCAATACTGAATCACTGAACTCAGAATACATAGCATAAAATGATTTGATAATAGTAAATATGAATTGAAAATTATGTGGAAAGAAGCAGTCACCACTAATCTAATATCGTTGAATTTGCCTGGAAAAACTGAGGAGTACCACAAGCAGCCTCACTCAGTATGGTCAGTGCCCCAACCAACATTGAAACCAAACACCCACCAAATACTAGTCACAAGTTTTATTGCTTGAGCCAGCTTGTTGAAAATATAAAAAGTAAAAAAGTAAAGCTATCCCTGTAACAGGCTGTGAAGGCCCATAGGGTTGTGAGACACTGAGGGTCTCAAATTATCTAGACAATCGGCTCAAAGATGGTAGTAACATTGTCAGCCTTACGCGCCAGCCGCGCTTCAGTCCCCAGGAAAATTATTTACTTAATTCCTGGCACTCGTTTCTGTTAGAGGCTGAGTCAACCCCAGGGCCATAGTGCAGCTGAAAGGATTAGGTCAATTGAAAAGAATCCAGTGACCTCATCGGGACTTGAACCCACGACCTTCCGGCTTGTAGCATAGCCCCTCAACAAACTACGCTAGCTGTATAAATTCCTAACCTCAGTTCCAGATAGCATCCAGTGGTGAGCTTCATGCTGAAGCTCCCTCAACTCTAGTACCTAGCAGAGAAAGTAAGCTACGCCCCACACTACCAATTATTATACCAGTACCTTGTACTTTGTACATAAAGTTCTTTTCACAAGGTTAAATGAATAACTGCATTCTGCTGTAACTACCTTGTATTGCCACTGTTTGAGAAGACAGTGCCTGAAAAATCTCTAAATGAGAAGAATTCTCTTTCCATTCAATCTGATAAATAACAACCTCTCAACATGTGTACCTAAAGGACTTGTACCAGAGATCCAGGACCTGTGCAAGACAAGGGTTCACTCTGTGCAAATTAGTTTGTATTTTTGACAAATTCTTTTCGAAATTAGGCCTCCATATCTTGGACAATCCTTTCAGCTCCTGTCTATAAGTAGAGTCATACTGTTTTATTCGATTATCACTTTCACTTGGGTCTTGAAGAACAAAGTCTACAACAGCCTTTTTCATGCTTAACACAAACTCTTCCTTTACTTCCTCAATAAGCTGTTCCTTTAGTTTGTGGTATGTTTGGATTTTCTGTGGAATCTGAGCACATATGTTGTTTAACCATGTTTGCTCAAGTGGAGCAACATGAACGGTATCAATTCCATGATGAATATAGTAGTAATATCGCAAACTTTCCTTCTCCTTTGGTGTTGGAATCTGAAAAGTACTCGTTTTTTCTTCATCCCGCTTGAAAATAAGTGCAATAAGTCTCTTACGAAAGTCCTCCCTCTCCTTTCTCATAGCTGTGTATGATTTCTGATGTGCCTGAAATCAAAGATTTTTACCATTACCCAATAATATATTAATATACTTTCTGCAGTTTTAATTCACACAGTATTGCTCCATGTTTGTCAGATGTGATGATGAAAGGGTGACTGTGCTTCTGTTGTGGTGAATATTACTCAATATATGCAATCACTGAGGCTAGTCGTCCATTGGAAGCGGAAACCTGCGAACTGGGATTCGGCCGAATCTGTGCGAATCTGTTCGTCCGAATTCGTGCGTTCACTGCGCGTCCTTTGGCTGCGTGTTCGGCCGATGCCATTCGCGTTCTGTCATGGCGCTGTCTGAAGATTTATGTGATCTGTACGCGTTTGATACTCCTTTACTGGCTAGGTGACGAGCACAGAATAGGAGAAAAGAGTGGATTAGTGGAATTTTACCAAAAAGACAAACGTTTGATGAATTTTCTCATATATGGAGTGATTCACAAGAGGACGAGTCACAGTATTTTGGTTATTTTCGCATGAAGCAAGATACATTTGAATACACATTAAGCAAAGTATATCAGTTGAAGAAGTACAGTAACTTCCGAGAAACTATTTCACCTGAAGAACGCCTAGCTGTAACGTTAAGTTAAGGATTTGATAAGAGTTTGAGAAAACAAAATATTACATCGATGTTCTATTTTTCTTGCTTCTTAGTGACTACATACAAACCTTTGTTTCTACAAAGGATCGAAATTACTATGATACACAGCGGCACTGTTCTTGTCTGTTACAAATTCATTGCTGTGGGAACTATTATGGGAACTGCGTGTCGATTCAAGGGATAGAGGCGAAACATTTGACGTGGACATCACGCTGCTGTTTCGATCCTCCTGTTCCTGCAGTAAAACATCCATCAATTTCATGCGTAATCGCAGCTGTCTTTCTTCAGGCAAGCTCATCAGAAATTGATAGTCACTATCCTGCTTCATTTGAGAGCTCTTTTCGAAATAGCTCAACTTTTTAGATTCTATTTCGAAGAATTTGTCATCGTAATTAATTCTTTTCTTTCCTCTTTTTAGCGGACTTTTGAAATGCTCTTTTTGTGCCGGAGACGTATTTACAGGTGCATCATTCTCGATATCTGATTGAAAATCTGGAGTAGAAAATGCATCATTATATTCACTTTGTGTTGTAATATTATCAGTGCCTGTCTCAATACAGGCGTCCGCAATGTCAGGAACACTACTCGACAGATTTCTCGGTTGAACAGTATCAGTTCGTAGGTGGTGAACGCAGCTCTTCGTCCGAAAAATCCAAACCAATCTGGATATTTCGCAGTTCGCAAGTATACGCGCGTTCACGGACGAATAGTGCTGCTACCAATGGACGCACTCTAACCTGATGCAAGCTGTTAGGATCGTTCGTCCATTTCCGTGCGTGTTCGGACGAACTCCTCATCGCAACTTTCCGCAGCTTTCCGCTTCCAGTGGACGAGAGGCCTGACTATTATTACACAGGACAAAAATAAAACAGTTTTATCCAGCTTTTCAGTAGTGGCCATTGTACTGCAAGTAATGGGAAGCATGGCAGGCATATTGGGGCTGTGTGGAAGCTCTTATGTCTCTCTGAAAAATATGTCAACAATGAGGAAGATTGTATATTGCAACTGAAGGGGTCAACTTGTTCTCATCTCCTGATTGACTGGATTAGAGGGAAATAGGTATAGGATTATTTTTGGATCTATCTAAAGCTTTTGACCTAGTCGATCATGATATATTGTTAAGGAAGCTGGAACGAATGGGAATACGAGGGGTTGCACTTAAATGGTTTCAAACATATCTGGAAGGAAGAGAACAAAAAGTAGAAATTACATATAGGGATAGAGAAACCAAGGAAAGCATTAACTGGCTATCACAACAAAGACCCGTAAGTCATGGAGTTCTGCAAGGTTCTGTTCTTGGACCAGTTTTGTTTCTGCTATATATCAATGATTTAGAAGCAGGTATTCAGCAGGGAAAACCAACGTTCTTTGCCGACGATACCAGTCTTTTTATATCAGGGAATATGGTCGATGTTGTCCAAAAGGAAATAAGTGAAACAATAAA